TCATCGACTTCCTACATCCGTGACGCGGCAAAGAAACAAAATTCAATACTTTGTGTCGTACTCCGCCGACTAAATCATTAGCTGAAAAATCATTAAGCCGCCCGACCGAAATTTCCATGATTCGGTTCGCTTAATTATCTCCATTAATCATATTTAATTAGCATATTTTTTATCTCATTACGGGGCTCTATTTCTGTCTTTGTTAAGTCGATGAGAGAGCTACAGCAGGAGTGTTGGAAACCATAAATGCTGTTTAGAAGTTCGAAAAAAATCTGGCGTTCAACAGGAGGGAAATGATGGAGGAAATGGATGCTAATGTTTATTAATTCTGTTCATGGCTTTGGTTTAAGCGGCCACTACAGGGTTAGCAATGCAGTTAATTTGATCATCTGTAATGCATAAAACGTAGTTTTTCCTGACACTCTTTTTCTCTATCAAGAGCAATGCGAACTCATTAGATTTTTTGTGTGTACTTCACCGATGGTTAAGTTTGTTTGACTTTGAAACGAATCAGAGCGAATTTCATTTGAATATGAAGACTAATTAGTCGCTGAATAAGTTTTGAAAATTAATTAATTACAAGTAGAGAGACAAAATTTGAACGTTTTTAAAGAATAGTTATAATGGCAGATTTGTTAAACTCTAAGATATTTCGATTAATTGTGCTTTGTGCTTAATACATTTCTGAGTATGCGAATTTTCAAAATTCTTCATTTCCCATTGTCTGTTGGAAACTTCTTTATTGAATATTTATCGTGTTTGAGCTATAAATCTCTAATGTGGGCATTTTATTTAAAGCGGCGCCGTTTGTGTGGGTGCGTCCAATGGAACACACAAGTCTTTAGTCATTGTTGCGCTTAATTTGCCGATTTTTTGGTGCCACTTTAGCGTGCCTGCCAATTACCAGGTACGACCGAATTAGGAACAAGTTTCACCTTATAGAGGTTTCTGGGCGCAATAAGCCTGAGAATAAAATAAATGTGGAAACTTTGCGGAGTTTTATTCAAGCCGGAGCTGTCGGCTTTACTGGGCAACTCGCCAAGAAATGGGGCCCGAATGGCAACAGCCTGGAGGAAGAGGCGACGGCAAAAAAGCGTGGAGAATTTCTTTCGGCTCGTTACGACCCTAACCTTTCTCACGTGGCGGCGCGACGGCACGTGCACTTTCGCTTTCAAAATGCGCTGCGACGCTACAAGGTCGCGGCATCCTATGACGGGACTTGAAATTGCCTTTTGCTCCAAGAAAATATTTTTATGCATTCGTTTAAGGGCCGCATTATTTGGGCAAAATCGGCTAATGGCAGGCCTGCCTGAGTTTCACTTTTTTCACTTTTATTGAAAAAAGATAGATGGATAGTTTTCACATCGGTGCACTTTCTACTAACTGAAGAAGCGACTACTAGAAGCATTTATCCGGGTGTATTAATTTTCAGGCAAACCCTGTCAGATCTGCCGAATTTTACACGATTTTTATTGATTAAACTGCCAAATAAATAATCACAGCCACTCGTCCGTATGTTCAAGTACATAATTATACAAATTTCTAATGTAATTCTATGTTTCAGTCTGTAATAAAGAAGAAATCGCCGATTAAAAAACGCTTAAAATGGCCCAAAAATGTCGTGTTTTTAATTAACATCTTACAATACTCGCTTCATTGCAATGATTCAGAACATTTTGATGATTTTATATTTTTCGAAAAAATCGACCCCAAACCCTTCTGAAATTTTCGGTCAAAAATCAAAATTTTACTTGTCTGTTTTTTGAGTTCAGTGGATTCATTGCGAGATAAGAAAAGTTCCATCATACATTTATAACATGTTTCAGACTGTAATAAAGAAGATATCGCTGGTTAAAAAATGTTAACGATCAAAAACAGCTTAAAGTGGGCCAAAAATGTCGATTAATTCGAACTTAAAGCTACAAGCGGGTTTTTTAGTTGACGTTTTACATTCCTCGCTTCATTGCAATGAAAATGATGTTGAATTCAACACATTTTTAAACTTTATATTTGTCAAAAATAAAAATTTCACTAGTATGTTTTTTGAGTTCAGTGGATTGCTTGCGTGCTTTTTCAGACCTTTATAGCGTGTTTGAGTCTGTAGTAAGAGATATATCGAAGGTTAAAAAATGTAAACGATCAAAAACCGCTTAAAACCGGTCAAAAATGTCGATTAATTCGAATTTGAAGCTACAAGTGGGTTTTTTAATTAAATCTTACATTCCTTGCTTCATTGCAATGAAAATGATGTGGAATTCAAAAAATTTTGAGAGACTTTGTATTTTTTGAAAAAATCAACGTCGAACTCTGAAATTTTCGGTCAAAAATCGAAATTTTATTAGTGTGTTTTTTGAGTTCAGTGGTTTGCTATCCTAACATACCTTTATAACACGTTTCAGTCTGTAATAAAGAAGAAATCGCCGATTAAAAAACGCGAACGTTCAAAAAACGTTTAAAACGGCCCAAAAATGTCGTGTTTTTAATTAACATCTTACAATACTCGCTTCATTGCAATGATTCGGAAC